TTGTCAGTATTTTCTTCATGCTTTAAAAAAATTACAGTTGGAATTATATTGGGGATATAGCTTGTAATATGTCCTATCTCAAAATGTTACTCTAATATAATGATATTAAATAAGATTTGTTTGAATTATAAAATATTAGCAATTTAAATACATTAAATTCTGAGTTACCTAAAAAATACTATATGCTTAATTGTCAGTATCCTAATTAATACATAACTGTCTCAGTATTCAGTTCATTGGTTTTTGATAGTTGTCTTTTCATTGTCTGCCTACCAGGCTTGTATTTATCGTCTTACAGTATTTTTAGCATTTTCAAATGCATAAATTTAATCTTTTGACCCAAATATTGTGGTCACTTCTTGGTCATGCCTCTGTGCAGTGCATCTGTTTTCTAACATATCTTGTGAGGATAAAGTCAGTTTATATGGACACACAGTCTATGCACTTGTTTAAGTATTTAAGTCTCTACCCTTGTATCAATTTATATCATTGTAAAGCTCTGTGTGAGGATACTAGAGTCAGAAGATCTGGGTTGGAATCCTAACTTCTTATTTCACTAGCTGTGTGACCTTGGGTGAATTTCTCTGATTTGTTCCCAGTGGTAAAATTCTGGAAGAGGGAAACGTTCTATTGTGAAGAATCAAAGTGGGCTTGGGAGTGGGCTTCGGCAGTGAGCCCATTTGTGCCCTTCCACATGTGCCACTGTGACCTGGGCATCAGGATTTTAAAAAGTTTCCTATTGACTCTAATGTGAAGCAAACCTTGGGAGCACTATCTGTGATCAGCTTTGTGAGGATCTGCTAGTTCTGTGTGAGGATCTATGTCATTTGCTTGTTCATGTGTTTTTTTGAGAGACTTTTTAAAACTTCTGATTTACATTTTAAATCAGAAGTCACATGCCTGCAGGAGCCAGGGAAGCCAAAGTGAGTAGAGGGGGCTGCAGCCATTGTGTAAGTGGGCAGGGGTCACTCTGCTCCAGTTGCTGCTCAGAAATTGTCAGTTCTTTTTTTTTTTCTTCTAGAAATGTTAGAAATTCATATTTTTATATGAAACTTTCCAATTTTTAAATTTTGGGTCATATATTGTTTTATAGGCTATGTAAAACCTGCATGTCGGGCAGATTTGGCTTGGGAGCTGCCATTGTGCAACTTACGTTTTTAAACTTGGTGTTCATGGGTAATTGTGTCAACATATGTTAAAGTTGGCATTTTTCATTATATGAGGTCCAGTACCTATGTGGACTTCCCTTAAGCAAGTTTTTGTCTTTGCTATTTGATGGTTCTGTGATTTGAGGACCTCAAGCTTTGTTCCAGCAGGGTGTCCCCCACTGAGGTGCTATGCTCCCATCTCTGTTTTGATAGTAGAACTCCCAATATATTCAGAGAGCAGAACCCACCTATATGCTAGGAGTGCTAACCAAGACTACATTTTCACACATATAATGTCAAGTCCCAGAAGAGTCACTGGAGATATGGGGCAAAGACAATATTCTCCAGTGCTGGCTTCACTTAGCCAGGATTTGGAATGTGATCCCCAGCGGTGATCCCAGTGGAGGGTAGGGTGGAAGGGCACCAGAGAGGCCCAGTGAACTCCTGTGTTCCAGGGAGTACCAAAATCAGTAGCAGACTGCTTCTCAACTGTGTTCCAGGAATGAAAAGTTCTCAGTTATTCACATGCATGATGCCTTGAAGTAAAATAAGAATAGTTCATATTCACACTTCTAAGAAATCATTTAACAAAAAAAGCTGAAAGACAGTTCATATTTAGTGATAATGTAATTAGGATGCCTGAAACCTATGTAATTTTATTAACCAATGTCAGGCCAATAAACTCAATAAAAAAGAAAAACACTAATGTAATTATGTTAGGATAGCCTGACTAAAATACCTGCTTTTGAGGAAATCTCTAATTTTCTTTGCTTTTTGGATTATTTTTAGATCATGATGCTGGAGATGGAGTCCTAAACCCAGAAGAAGCAGGCATGGTTTCAGAAGAATTAAAGTGGGCATCTAGAACTGAAAGTCTGAAATTAAGTGGAAGGGAAAAAGAATTAGACAGTTCAGCAAGCAGCTCAAGAACACAACCAAACCCTCTGAGGCCCTGGGAAGACGGCCCAGAATCACCTCCAGTTTCTAGCTCTTTAGCACCCACCAGTGGGCGTTTGTTAAGCAATGAGGATAAAACAGAAATAGATGAAAATCAATTTACACAACCTTACAGTCGACCAGCACCCCAAGTTCAGCCAGTGGGAAATGGGGGACAGCTTCATGGTGTCGTGCCTGTGAAGTTGTGTCGCAAAGAGTTACGTCAGATTTCCGCCTTGGAGCTGTCATTACGACGGTCCAGTCTTGGAGTTGGGGCTGCATCTATGACGGCTGATTCCATTGAAGTAGCTAGGAAACCAAGTGGCTTAAAAACTTAGGTAGTTACTAATAGAACTTTTAATTTGCTTTTCCATAATAACCAAACACACATTTTCCAATATTATCAAGTAATGGAATATTTAAATATTTCCACCTGTAAATTTGTCTAAAATTCTTTTCCAGGCATATTGAAGAACAAGACTAAGAGAATAATAAACTATACTAGCCATCAAATGTATATTATTATATAATAGAAAATATATTATTATGTAAGTATGTTATAATGCAATGATTATATGTTTATGTTACTGTTATTTTCAAATACAAATATGTTTTTTGTTATTTAAAAAGATCCAGTTAAATATTGCTGATGTCAGAGGGAGAGTCACCTGCTGCATATGTATGGACACAGCTGAAAAATCTGTGTCAAAGTGTAGTCTGTGGGCTAAGGCAACTGGCTGGGTTTGTGGATTAAGCTTAATTTATGGGCCTTAGAACTCACAAGTTGAGTGATCAGTCTTGATTTTTAAACATGATCTCTGTTCTTTTTCTGCAGTTGATTTTAGAATGATACGTTATTGGTTTGCTAATATTATGGAATATAAGCTTTCATTTCTCTCCTGCCCTATCCAACATATTTCTCCTTATGCTACTAAAAATGGGAGAAATAGGTGCAGTTCTATGGAAGAGGGAAACAATAATGGAATAACACTAACACATTCTAGCATTTTAAGGAAAAGCTATCTGGTCACCTCTAAAGCTTGAAGTCTAGCCAGAGGATCTTTAGCTAATAATATGAAGGGCTTAGTCTGAGATTTTTCTTTACAACTTGCTCAGTCAGGCTTTGCACATAGACAGGCCAGACTACACTAGGGCTGTAAATATGTAAATGAAATATTTTCTTCAAAAATTTTTTGGTCTAAACCTTATTATATAATAGAAACTTCATTTAGAATTAAGAACCAAACATTGATTTGCTCAACATAATACAGTTTGTACTTTTGCACCATATTTTTCAATCACAGAAAACATCCCGTTATAATGACCAGAGAGGAATTTTGTTAATTTTTAAATTTATGTATTTTTAATACTTTTCTAAACTTTCACTTGTAAATAAAGTTGTTTGTTAAATTAATTAATGTTTGGGTGGGACAGGAGCAAAAACACCCTTACTTATAGTACAGATGCCTGCTTAATTAGTCACCCACTTCCTTGCTGACTCCATTTTTTCTGTCTGATGCTGCTGCTAATTTTTTATTTTGCCCTTTTCTCTGTTGCTTTGCTCCTGGCATCTTTCCTAGGACCCAGACTGTCATCCTGTGCTCTGACCTAATGGATCCTTTTCTAGTTCCTAGCCCCTAGGGAGTAGGCTTCCTTGGTCCCATAGCTAAAAACCAGTTCCTATAGGAAAAGAAAACCAAACCAATACAAACTTCTAAATTGGTGCATAGTTTCTATATCTCTTAAGCATGGTAGTAAAATTCATTTAAATTATGGGTTAAATAGACTTCTGTGGACTTACCTGGGAACTGAACTAATTTATAACATCAGGCCAATGAGAAACTGCTTCAAACAGTGAGTTTACAAACTGCCGTGGAAATTTTATTTTTAATGGACTATTTGAAGTCACATTCTGGTTTTAAGTGAGTCTTTCCTTTTTGCTTTGGGTTTGTATAATATATATTTTATGTATATCATACATAATGTGTATATAAATATATAATGGCAAAAGGCCAGTGCCTTAACAAAGCACAACAATTATATATTAATAAATACATATTTATTAATGAAGGTCCCAATTGTAAATAATTTAGACATAATTCATATAAGAATGTATTCTGACACTGGAATCCTGCTTGCCCAAGAAGTTGACACATATTTGTTTCACCTGTGGGAATATAAACATTTTTTCTGAAAGCCAACTCACAAAACAAGAAAATTTACATCCAACCAACAATGATTAGATTTGATAATGCAAATGTGAACTGACTTCTAAATAGCAGAGGTATAGTTTTTTCCTTTCTTCCAGTTAAACATATATCCTTTATATAGTATGATAGAGTTCATATAAACATACAAACACACACACATAAATAATATCCTGAGTAATATATTCTGGAAGTGAACCTCGTGTTGTTCTAGTTTAGTCAGTGCCCTCACAAAGGAAAGAATAATTAAAGCATCTGCCCAAGGCAAGTAAAATTATTTTTTTACATATACTACTAACTAAATTTTACTTTTTATTTCACATGCTTTCTTTAGTCTAGACATTTTGTCGTGGTTTGCCTTTTTGCATATATATATATATATATACACACAGACATACATATATATGTAAAATGTTTATGGTTTTCTTATTTTTGTTCATTATGGGTTTTTCCCCCCACCTGTACCACCAGAGCCTTTGAAAGAAAACATGTTTGCATCCAAAAAGTACAAGTTCTTTCCCTAACTCCAGAGTGTTATAGGTAACAGTATTGAGAATTCTGTAAGTGTGGATAACTGTGGGCAGTAAGAACATCAGTGAAGGTGCTTTTGGTGTTTTAATGTTTATTTTCTTTTGTTTATATTTTTTGTTCTCTTTTTTTTGGTTCCATAATTGGTATCTTCGTGAACTCAGGGTCCAAGGAGTCAGCAAAATACAGTCTTCAATAATGTGGACCTGATTGCCACTGGCAATTGGCTTGTTTGTATCAGTCCAGGTCAATAAAGTGATAAATCCTTATTTAAGAATGGGTGTCTTTTTATTTAAAAAAAAAAAAAATACAGGTCTTATACTAAGTCTTAGAATGAATTGCTAAGCAATCAAATCTTTAGTGGTTCTATAGTTAACACAAATTCTCATGCATTAAATGCAAGTGTAACATATTTTGCTCTTTTAGTTATTTTCTTAGGCACATACCTGTGACTTTTAAATCACCAGATGATCAAGTTATTATAGGCCTGGCCGAGTAGTTCAGTTGGTTAGAGTGTTGTCCCGATACGCCAAGGTTAGAGGTTTGAGCCCTGGTAAAGGCACATACAAGAAGCAACAAATGAATGCATAAATAAGTGAAACAACAAGTCGATCTCTCTCTCCCTCAAATCAACAAAAAAACTTTATAAAGTTATTGCACATTCTTCTACATTTATATTTTCAAAAATTGAAAATAAAGGGGAATGAGATCCTACGATAAATATCACAAATGCATTGGTTATGTTTATTTGAGTTCATATGGGCAGTAGTGCTCAAAGGGTGGGGTAGTGGGAGACTGCCCAACGGGGAGGAATATTTTATCACTGTCATTGTTTACCTTGATCCTGAAAATAAAAAGCAGATGACTTTTCATAAGTTTTATTGTTTTAAATTCTCTACAAACAATGTACCCCTTATTGCATGTACGAACGGTGATTGCTTCCATTCCTTGCTTTTGGAATGCAGTGCATATATGACACCACATACTGGAATGGTGTTTGATTTTTATAATGACCTTTCTGTTGACCCCAAGAATACCCCAACATGGAAATAATTAGAACAAGATAAATTACAGAAAGCTCAGAAAAACTTGATGTTATAATACTGGCTCTTGATATTCTGCATAGTTCTTACTTGTTTCTTTTTATATTTTTTCTAGAATTTCCACAGTGAATTAAGAGAATTGCCACTATTTGAAATGCTAGCAGTGTAATTTATTTAAACTCAAATATATTGACCTAGACTTAGGTACTAGGTGTTTCTGGTAAATTATTACACACAGCTTGACTTAGTTACCTCTATAATATTTTAAAAGAAAAATACAGCAATTTCACATTATTATAATGAGCAAGATCTTTATATTCCCAAGAAACAAAACCATTCACAACAAAAGAGTAGAAAACTAAACATTAAATCAATTATATTTATGACTGTTGGAAATTTAAAGCTATTTGTTAGTAAATACTTGTGTAATTAAAGTAAACAAAAGAAATATTTTGAAATCGTATTCATATACTGTATTGTGTCTTTAAGCTTATTACAGTATACACAAAGTAAACTTTTTCAAGTCCAAAGTGGTAAATAGTAGTTAATCTGAAGGGTCTTTTAAAAGATCCACTTCTTTTATTCTCCAATTACCAACAACAAATTATAGGCAAATTATAGCTTTACTTACCTCTCACTCCCCACACTATTCCAGGATTCAAATAGCTATGATAAGAACAGGAGACAGAGTTATTTTAAAGCATTTCAAAGATCCCAGCAAAGAATTTTTAAAAATACTTTGAGCAAATATATTTTATTTTTCTGGCAACAGCCTAAAACAACTTCAATCTTTGACTATCTCTTAAACCCTAAATAATGCTCCTAGGTAGTAGTATTGATTTTGCCATTTGAAATATACATCCTGGTTTTTATACTGGTTCCTCTTCCTGTGATTACTATTAATTCAGGATTACATGGAAAGAAGCTGCTTTAGGCATAATCTGAAGGTAAATTGTGGAGCCATTCAATAGAGTATTATAAGAAACAGTTTTGGATAAATTCCAACAGCCATAACATAGACCAAAGAAAATAGGACTTCAGTGATTTTACCATTGAAGAACCACAAGTAGCGTGCCAAAACAAACATTGTAGGCATTAATTGTCAGGATTTATCTTTATAAAACAATACTTAACCATTTTGCTTAATTATGCTCTCTGCTAGAGTATCCCTGATTTTTTTCTAAGACTTCCATTCATGAAGTCACAAACCAGCAGCTACTGGCCTGCCTCGAGAGGCTGAATCGATGTTATTCATTTTTGTTTGTGGTCGGCAGTGGTATTTCACTATCCACCCTGAAAAAGAGTGAGGAGTTAATCTGAATTCAACTGATTCATAATTCTGATAATTTATAAGTGTAAAAACTACCAAAGTTTTGCTGTTTCTTTCTAGCATGATTTCTTTTTTCTAGACGGGAAGAGTGGGAACAAGGCAAGATATTTTTATACTGAGGTGCCAATTGCCTTTTGAAATTCCCCTTACCTGGGGGTTGGGCAGCATCTGAATTGTTCCATTTGAAGCCTGGAACTAAGCCTATTCTGTTGCATGGGACCATTTCCCAGCTAGCACCATGTGTCACCAGGTAACTAGAACATGACCAGAATGACCCAGGTTATAATCTTACTAATGGAATACATTAACGACATTTTCTAAAATACCAGACCTTTTTTTTAAAAAAAAAGTTATGAATAACTTTCTTGCATTTAAAATCAAAATCTTATTTTTAAAATGCAACTCCAAGTATTTAATTAATTGGAAAGGAAACTGCTATTTTTACTAGTAAATAGCCTTTTGCTTTGTCAAATAAATACATGAAAGCACTTTGAAAAGAAGTATCACATATATTTATAATGGAATTATAAGTAGGTTTTCTATAGAGTTGGATGTCAAAATGAAATCACTTTTCAGCACATATGTGATTGCTTATTTTATATATATCACAAAACTTTTAAACAAATTCTCAGTATTTTAGTTCTATATGTCAGCAACAGTAGAAATAAGTATTCTCTGGGAAGTTTTATGTGAATTCTATTCTCACAAGAAAATATTTCAAAGACTTGGCTGAGTATTTTCACAGCCATAAGAAGTGCTTCCTGACTATGTCTTCGATATATGAATAAAAGAATATGGTTTTAGTGGGTTTTTAACCACCAGTTTTTGGCTATTTGTTACTTATTTCCTTAGTAATTACTACATTTGTGAACCAAGAAGAATGGTTTCTATGAGGTGATCACAAAGATATTGAAAACTCTATTTTTCCCTTCAAGAAAACTGTAAAACAGTAAGTTGATTTTTGTTTTTTGGTATATGTATAGTTATGCATCAAATTAACAGCAAAGTCAGTCTTTGGCATTTGGTTCTCTTATGTACTATATACAAGAAGTATATTAGAATTAAATCTGACATTACCTTGGTGGTCTCTTTCTTACAAGCATCCTCAGACAAGTTCATTCCCCTTAGTTTGCAAGTATCTGCCAATGTTAAGGAATAATTTGTCTCTCTATAGATCAAAGCACCCACGACCTGTACAGCCAAGTAATCAGAGAGGAGACCAAGACTTTAAGAATAATGGAACCTACAGTCATAAGTATTCTACTGGATTGTGAACAAATAAATAAGAATATTAACAACAGTTTTCCTGGAGGAAGTTACCTTCAGTTGTACTGAGGTCCTCTTAGTAAGGTTTATAACAAAGTTCACTATCTCTCATAACAAGGGAGATTATGTGTAAAGACCTGATTATGCCAGTTTAATTGGCCAGGTCAAAGTTGTCTCTTCTAATACAAGTTCCTTATCAGATATATGATTTGCAAATCTGTTCTCCCATTCTATAGGTTGTCTTTTCACTTTTTTGATGGTGTCCTTTGCATTGCAAAAATTTTTATACTTGATGAAATCTAATTTATTTTTTCTTTTGATTGTTTGTGCTTTAGTTGTCATATCTAAGAAACCTTTACTTAATTCAAGATCATGCAGACTTATATCTATGTTTTCTTCTAAGAGTTTTATAATTTTAGCTCATCTTTATGTCTTGGGTACATTTGGAATTAATTTTTATATATGGAGTGAGGTAGGGGGTCTAACTTCATTTTTTTGCATGTGCACATCCAGTTGTTATGGCACTATTTGTATGGGGGGGGAATACCTTTTCCTTATTGTTTTGGCACCATCGTTGAAAACTAGTTGACCACAGATGTTTGGGTTTGTTTCTGGACTCTTGCTTCTATTCCATTGCCTCACATCTGTCTTATGCCAGTACCACACTTGATTACTGTAGCTTTGTAGTAAATTTTGAAGTTGAGAAGTGTTAGACTACCAGCTTTGTTCTCCCTTGAGTTTTCATATGAATTTTAGGAATAGCTTATCCATTTCTGGAAAAGAGCAGGTTGGAATTTTTTCCCTCCAACAAGTTTATTTATTTTGTAAAGGAATGGATTTTGAGGAGGAAAAACATAGAGCAGAGAGGTATGGAACAGAAAATAAATACAAATGTAAGCTGTTTTGCTAAATGTTTTGTAATCATAACGAGCGCAGAAAATGCCATTTACAAAACAACACAACAAAGGTTCAAGATCAAGGTGTTCCTTTAGGCAAGGCTGAAGAGTGCAGTCTTTGGTATTTGGAATCTAGGCTGCAGTCCTTGTTTTTGGATGGATCACTGCGTGTGTGGCACAGTTCATGCTTTAACCAGATTTGAACAGAAGAATGGCCACTTGGCCTAGGTAGTAGTAGGTGAAGTATTTGGTTTCATGTGTCACCTAACTACCAGAGTTCCTCCGCACGATGCAGGGCCAGGTGGGGTTGTACTTCTTGTCAGATTACTTCATATGGGCCACAATGTTCTTCTTTATATTATATTTCTCCAACGCCTGAGTAGCACACTCCACCAAGTCCTGTTGCATCACCTCTGACATATCATCGGTATTTTTGATCACTGCCTTTTAGCTGCGCATGGTAACAGTGGAGCAGGGGCTGGCCGATTGCAACAGTCTCCTGGGGGAGGGGCTGGTGAACCTTAGCCTGGCAGGAGATGCTATCTCAAGCCTGTTGGAATTTTGATAGGAATTGCATTGAATCTGTAACTCTTACTTGGAGTCTACTGACATCTAAACAATAATAAGTCTTTCAATCCAGGAACATGGCCTATCTTTCCATTTATTTAGAACATCTTTAATTTCTTTAAACCATGATTTTTAGTTTCTGGTGTACAAGTCTTAATGCTTCTTTGATCAAATTTATTCCTAAATATTTTATTTCTTTTGATGCTATTGTAAGTGGACTTGTTTTTGTACTTTTAGTTTCAGATTCTTCATTGCTAGTTTATAGAAATACAACTAATTTTTGTGTATTGACCATAGTTTGGTTTTAGTGGATAATAGATTTGGGTTAGAAACATACCACACTGTGAATCAAGGAACTTAGATAATGTTTACCCATAAAAACTTACCTAATAAGCAGAAATTCCAATTTTTTGTTGTTGTTGATAAATTTTTAGCTGGTTATTTTAAGATTGTTCACGTAAGAATTATTTCTGCTTATTTCTAGATTAAGGGTGGTAAGGGCAGAGAGCACAGCTATATAATTTGGCATTTGTAGTCTATATTCTTGAGTCTTTCACATGAATTTTTTCCTATTTGTGAAATACAAAAGGAACAATCCTGAGCACCCCATCTCTCTGTAATATGAGGATACTTTCTCTATATTTCTCAAAGCTATATATTTTAAAGATTAATGGTAATGAAGAGAAAACTAATTTATTCAACAAATTTCTGTGTGCTAAACTTATGCTAAGTGCTAAATGCTAAAGGAAAGAGTTTAATAAATTACCCATTCACCAAGGAACATACAGTATGTTGAGGAAAGATAAATAATAACATTTTGACCATTTGAATGTATACAGTGAGCTTAGCACTGAAGTGACATACCAGTGAGTAAAACAGGCCAGGTTTCTGGGGCTCAATGTATAAAGGAGAATAAAATTACTCTGGTAAAAAATATAGAAGGTACTATAGGAATATGGAGGGACTTTTGACTTTTAGGGGTAAAGGAAGGCTTGCTTCCCCAAGATGGTGCCCCTTGTATCTTAATGGACAAGTTGGCTTTCAGAAGGCATAGAAATAAGAGGAATAGCATTGTAGATCAAGAAACCTCATTGCCAAGGCTAAGAAATGGCAGACAATGTCATATACTCAGGGAACTGCGAGCAATTTAGTAATAGGCTTAGTACATTGTAGACTCCAAGTAAGTATCTGCTGAATGAATGAATTAGTGCTGGGTGGTTGGAGGTGAGGATAGGAAGGCAGCTCAGATCGCAGAGGGGACATGCTAAAGAACTGAAAGGCTACAGAGAGTCTGCTGCATTTACTCTATACAATTTATATAGCAATTGGACTGGTTTACTTTTACTTTTTCTTTAAACACAATAGTACAAATGATGTATAAGATACCACAAGAGAGTGAAAAACCCATTAAGTAGAACTATTTGCAAATAATTTATAGGTGTTATCTATATCTATATACACATCTATTTATCTATATATAACATTAATTTTGAAGGCTCCTGAGGAAAATACAGGTGGGGATTTTTTTTTTGGTCTAATTATTTTGGAAAGTATAAAATAGCCTTTCATAACAATTCCATATTCATGTAGGTCATTTTCAAATTCAAGTTAGTGACACTTGACTTCGTATAAATAGTATACTATAAATAACATCACAGTAAGGGCAAGGGAAGGAGGTAGCTGAGTCAAAATACTATAAAAGCAACATTAACATTCCTATTTTACAGCGGACAGTGTGAAAGCAGAATGAAAAGTTTACCTTTGCCCTGTCCAATGTGGCTCAGTTGGCTGAGCGCTGTCCCATACACTGAGAGGCTGCCGGTTTGGGGGCATGCAGGAGGCAGCAGATCTATGTCTGCCTCTATTGATGTTTCTCTCCCTCTTCCTTCCTATCTCTAAAATCAATAAAAACATATTTTGGGGGAAAAAAGTTTAGTTTTGATTTATTTGATTTTCTTAAAAAAGGTATTTTAAAAGTACTAATAAAGAATTAGCCTGGATGGCATGGCTCAGCAGTTGAGCATTGACCTAGGATCCAGGAGATTGTGGTTCGATTCCCGGTCAGGGCACACGCCCAGGTTGCTGGCTTGATCCCCAGTGGGGGGGCGTGCAGGAGGCAGCAATGACTCTCTCATCATTGATGTTTCTATGTTTCTCTCTCCCTCTCCCTTCCTCTCTCTGAAATCAATAAAGATACATTAAAAAAAAAAAAAATTAGTTCTACTTCTTAGTATTACTGTGAAATGATTGATGGTCAGTCTATTAAATTGGCTGAATTAAAAACAATACTACAACTTTCCCTCCTCTCACCATTACTTTTTTTAAAAGACTTGAAATTTTAATTTTTTTCAAGGTGACAATGTATATGGTTTCCGAGTCAAATAATTATAAGACTCATGATAAACAGAAGGCCCTGCTCCATCTGTAATCACTGATGTCTGCTTCCCAAAGGAAAATTGATGTTCCGCTACTTAATTCCACATTTCTAAAGCGCACATTTCTACTGCCATGTCTCAGTGTTTCAGTTATTTTATGCCATTTATTAATTTCTCAACATGTTTATATGGCGTTATTCAGAATTTATTGTGTATATTTTAATGTCTATTATGTATTGTCCACAGCATCCCATGTTATTGTATCAGTCAGGAAAGGTTAATTATGCCACATTAACAAATGACCACAAAACCCTCAGCAGCCTACAACAATAAAGATTGACTTCTCATTCACGCTGCATGTCCAGTGGCAGGTCAGCTTGTAGTTCTGCTCTATGGAGTCTTCACTCAGGACTCAGATCACCAGAGGCAGCCTCTATCTGAACAGTGCTCATCTTGTGGAGGGGCAGAGACATGGCTCCTAAAAGCTTCTGCCTGGAAGTGACATTCACTTGTTCCCCTATTTCATTGGCCACCATAATTCACACTGCCAGGTCTAACATCAATAGGGCAGGGAAGTATAAGTCTCCTCCAGAGAGGTAACATCAAAATCCTTAAAACAATCATACAGTCCACCACAAATACTTTGTTCCCCTGGAGTTTATAATCCCCTCTTTCTTGGGTTGCTTAGTTTCCTCTATACCTACCATCATTTCACCTTTATATGTTCTAAGGTTCAAACACATTAGTCACTTACCAGTTCTGATTTTTTTCCTTTGGAGACATCCTCTCTGGAGCCCTCCAATCCTCTATCAGAACGACTGGTTGCTCTGCAGACCTGCTTCACAGCTGTCATCCTGGAACTTCCCTTTACCTTCATCCCAGTTCTTTCTGTTTTCTCCTTTGTCAGAGCTGCTGTTTACCAGGCCCGTGTGTTTCTGTTTCTTGGTTTACACTTATTTTGGTGGAATACCTCCCTCCAGTAGCTTCATTAGCATATGTGAGTTAAAACT